ATGTGTATAAAGGCCCTCTTTCCCTCCATAAACATCCTTAGATTACAATAGTGTTTGCTGGATAAAGATTTCTTTTCTGTTGCATAATCATCCAATGTCTGATTGTGAATATTGATGTTGGGAAGGAGAAAATGACAAATGCTAGGCAATAAATCACTTAAAATGAAGAAGAAACTAACCTCAATTTTATCTTGCAAAAGTACTTGGCTCCCTTGAACTGTTTTATGTTTTGTCACATTAAAAACACAAATTTGAAATAACTTTAAATAAACACAGAAAAGTACATAATTGTCAAGTCGAAGGAAACTGATAAAAATGCAAGTGGGACACGCTAGTGTACTCTGTCTCCTTGTGTCAGCACTTTATAAAACCACCCTTTTCTGTAATTACAGTCTTTTTGTATATGTCTTTATAAGATTTGCAGATCTGAGACTGAAATAGAGACATAAATTTAATTGTAGCTGTACAATAACTTGGACACGGTCACTGTACTTAAGTGATCTTCCATTCCTGTTATTGTACAACTTCAAGCACCAACTGGCTGAACTTCTGTTGAATTAGGTCAGTCATACTATATTCACGCAATATTATGTGTTAAATATTTGTATCTAACTGTCATTATTTTATAAAAATCAGTTTTGCATTTGCATCTATTTTTTGGTGAAATAAGGACAGTTATGTTGATTACTTTTTATTAGCAGGGTATAAGGATAGAAAGTTGTGTGTGTTAAAATGTTGAAGTAAATAGTGTCTTTGGTACCAGAGAATAGCAAAGTTGAAAGTACAAGCAAACACATAAAATAAAGTATTATGAATTTCCCATTGATTCCAACATTTTAAAAAGAAACAAAAAAGAAAAAAAAAAACAATGAAAAAAACAAAACTACCTCCTTTAGGAAAAAAAATAAAAATCTTGGCACTATTTTTTAATGCCACTTTTAAAAATGTAAGTGCTTTTTGTTTTGCTAATGTTTGTTGTTTATGTTGATCTGAGAAAGATGGAATATCCTCTGGCACAGCATCTTAATACAATCTTTTCCTGCTCCCATAGCACAGAGATGTAGACTACCCACCTTAAGTACATTAAAGTTATTAAAATCAATTCAATGTGCTGAATATCCTGGCATTTCTGTAACTCTCCCATTCAGCACAACAATCTGAATCCATGTTATTCTCAAGATGTCTTTTTAATTAGTTGTACAAGCAATCATTATTTTTTATTTTCCAACAAGCAATATTGCAAAGCGGAAACTGATTCAATGTTGTTGAGCCTGGATAAACTAATTACATTTACTGTAGCAGCACATATGCACAGTATTAATATTCATTGTTGTGCAATAATCTTTAAAGTCTCCCACATTTGCCATGTTTATCACAGATTTAGTTAGTTGATTATAGATTGTGGCGTTTATTTTGAAGACATAAATCCTTTCGGTGATAACGTGAATGAAGCTGCAGTGGCTTCTGTAATGGTTTAGCCAATTAGCTGTATCATAAAAGTGCTTCACTGAAGCTACAGTCTTGGCTGATGGAAAACAACACATTTGGAAATAAGGTGACCTCAGATACGACGAGATCAAGCAGACAAAAACAAACAAAACATTGATTGGACCTGAGTTTGATCAAATCAGGCCTCCCCTGTTCTTAGTGGTACAACACCTAAAGATTTATTCTCCTTTTATTAAATAAATAAAGCACAAGTGTACTCTTTATGTATTTCTTATTTTAGCTGTCCGTGCTAATCAGATACAAGAAATTAGATCAATTCAATGTATTCAGAATATAAACACCACAACAGAACAACCCACATCAAGGATTCTCATATTCAGACTTTGTTGAAACTATGCTTGGGTCTGCATTCGATTCCCACAGATTCCCTGTTAAAATTTTACCTCCATTTAACAGCATTGCAATATTCACACAGACTCTGATAAAGTATTTGATGTGTATACTATAAGAAACAGAAAAACAATCATTATTAATATTGCTTCTAAAGTTATATAGATCAATAATAAAACTCCAATGTTCTCTGCAACATATATTTCTCTTGATAAGTAGAGTTTATTAAAAATCAAATAAAGGGTTCGGCTGCATAATATCAGGAAAACAAAGGATGACACTATTGCTGAATGTTATGATGATGCTGTTTAAGCTGATCGTGACTCCTCTTTCTCTTCCTTCATCATAATCTTTGTGAGTTTTGCATCTCGCCAACTAAAAATACACATCAAGTGTTGGATCTGAGAGCAGTGAAAGTCTGTTTAACATCCAAAGTATATCACTGGCTTTATGTATGCATGCAAGGCACTTAAAATATATCCTTTCAAGCGGCATCCAATCAAAAGTAGGTTGTTTGATTGTGACATTGTGATGATGACTGCAGTTTCCTTTATCGGTTGTGCAGTGTCCATAGCCAGTGGGACATTTTGATGTAGGTTGTATAGGTAGTTGCCCAGACCAGCATTAAAAATAGGAAATGATTGTAAAAATTCAAACTGTTCTGTCATTTATGCCTCACAAATGTGTGTGAAGGCCTGAATAAGATGTTCAGTACAGGAAGTATCCCCTGTTTGCTGCTGCAAATAGGTAGGTCACATTGCTGATGGGGTTGCACTTCATTAATGTCCGTGTAAGATTGTAATGGAAATTTATTAATGAAATTGACGGACTTACAGAACACAAGGGAAAACGAACCAGAATCAGGATGACAGCGACAGTGAATAAAGAAATATACCAGATTCTTTCTGAATTCACTCACTGAATTGAGTCTAGCAGTGAATGAATTAAACTAAGGAGCTGAAATGCCTTGGGGACGTGATAGTGGTATGCAAACCAGGAGAGTACAATTAAGGAATGCAGAGCAGCTGGGGAAGAATCTAAGCAGGGAACTGAAAGTAAACTAACGGGAGCATGAGAAAAACGAATATAAACAGAGGATCCAATTAAGCCAAAGCTAAGGGGTAATGCCAATCTAATAGTTTAAACTAAAATATGCAAAAAAGTAAGAAACTCAGTAAAACTGAACCATATGGAGAGACACTAGTCACACTCAAATGACCAAAACACAAAGATTGAGACACTCGGCCCCTTTCATGACCCCCTTCATGGACTCGAGTATGGAGGAGAGGAGACAGATTGTGGACAATCAACTTAAGGAGAATAATTTAAGAAGTGCTCAGGTCAAGCCAAGACACACATCAGAAGATGCTGTTGGCAGAAATGCTTTAAAGCAAATGTCACTGACTATTTTTTGGTGCTTTTTTTAGTTAGTTTTTTGTTAGAGTCTGTGGTCAGTAGTTCAAAAAGTCTTAACCTCTTCATGGAAAACATGAAGCTGCAAAATGAAACAGATGATCCCGTTTATGCTTACACAGGTAATTGGTATTCTTTGGGTGTCTGAGTCGAACTGGGTCAGATTTCTTGTTAGTGCTGGACAGTTCTGCACTCATTACTCACTGTACTTCTGCTAAAATTGTTCGCACACTGTGCGAAACACATTCAGAAGTTTAGCAAGAGCTCTTCTGTCTGGAAAGCTTCCCGTTTTATGTGTGCAGACCGTGTGGGCTGTGGAAAAGAAAGCGCGGTTTTGATATGTCACCATTCACATGCTGTTACATTTAAGTGGAGAACAAATGTCTTTAGGACACCTGGCGCCGACGCTGTGAGTGTCTGCGTCTCCCAGGCTCATTTCTGACTGAGAACAGAAAGACCTTGGAGTACAAAGACAACAGACTTGATTATGTGAGTACACAGGAAGGTCTCCAAACATTGTCGTGCTAATCACGTTAGTGGGCACAGACTCAAGGCAGGACAGATGCTTGGCAAAGGGCAATAGGGTTATGTTGTCCTGATTAGAAGGGGGGATCTGTGAGGGAGGGAAGGAGGAGGCGGCTGTGAATCTTGTCTCCTACCTCGGCATCACCTTGCAAAGGTAAACCCGACCGTCACTTCTGTAACAGCGCTCAGTCTGTCACTTTTTCCACGTCTCTCACACAGCGTCTGTATTCAGGAGCTAGCGCCTTAGTCAGAGCGGATTTTCGTCCCTCCGTTTCGCTGCCTGCATTCATTTTCCTTCTTGTCAAACACCCACACAGCAACGAGTAGTCAGATGATAGTTTCAAATTTTCTTCTTACCGATTTGCTGCTTAAAGTTGTTAAAAACAAATTTGGTGGTTTCTGACTTGTTTGGTTTGGTTTGCAGAAGAAAAATAAAAAACTCTAGGGTGGCTCATTTGCAAACCTCTTTCAGTAATGTGTAAGTTGAAGAGCAGCTGAGCAAATATTTGGAACAGAAATGCTCACTTAATGAAGCCTTGATATTCAAACTGTTCTAGTTATTTCATATTAATAAAGTGCACATGTCAGATTCTTAAGGTATCGTTGTAAAACCCCACAGACGAACATGCCATCTGTGCACAAGTTGTTTTTTTTTTCTGCTGTAGGAAACTGAGTCATTAGAGATAACACAAGAGCGTTTCTGACTGCTTTCATTTTTTCATTTTAAAATAATTCAACATTGAAGGCATTTTATTGACTTTTTTGCTTTTTTTATGTCATGTTCCACCACAGCAGCTTGGGGATGATTTCCATATTTTTCATTTGCAGGAAAATATAATAATTTGTAACAAAGATGATAAGATGGCTATCTTACTTACACAAAACCAATCTGCCAAGTTTCACAAAGTTACTCTGCAAAACTACTAACTTTAATGTATTTTAAAAGCATGAAATGGCTTTAAATCCCCCTTTGATATCCTCTAATAAAATAAAGCGTAGCCAACTGTCTTTAGTTGTTTTTTGATTAGTAAATATAATCCTTTTGTAGTTATGGTCGCAAAATCCCAAAATGTATGAAAGTTCAAAGTGTCTGTATGCTTTCCAAGGCAGAAAAAAAGAGTCAAAAACTTTGACAATGGATTGCTTTGACACCCAAAGAAGATGTGTTAACTCATTCTTGTGATTCGTGTTAAGTTTTCTGTTCTTTTCTTTTTTCTTTTTAGGGTCCTACATGTTGGTGAACTCTTCCCAGCATGCTGCAGGTCATCGTGCTCAGCTGCTGCTGCAGACGCTGAGCGAAAACGACACACATTGTGTCCAGTTCAGCTATTTCCTGTACAGTCGTGATGGCCACAGTCCCGGGGCCCTGCGAGTGTATGTGCGGGTGAACGGCGGTCCACTTGGGAGTCCGGTGTGGAACACCTCGGGGACTCACGGCAAACAGTGGCACCAGGTTGAGTTGGCAGTCAGCACCTTCTGGCCGAGTGAATACCAGGTATGAAGCTTGTTGTGCTTTCATTGATGAACTACCGGACACTTCTCTGGGTTAACACTGGTCAGATCCTCAGTACATGTCGTGTACTGAAGATATGCAGACCCCATGAGCAGAACAATGTAGAGCTGGAGTAAAACTCTGTTGATCACTTCTTATTTTAGCCTCAAGGTGAATCTTGTGGTAATTACTTGCATTTGCAATTCAATTAGCACTGATTCCCCTGCGAATGCAGTCATTGTTAACGTTTGCGGTCCCTAACCAGATGTGACACAGGAATCTCTGGTAGAGATTACGCCCAGCCACATCTTCCAGCTGCTTGGTATGTCATCGCGTTCAGTTCTCAGAGCCACACTGTCATCGTCTGTGGGTGTGGATAGCTTAGGTAGGTGAAAGTGAGGGTTATCCATTTATTAATCCAATTTCTTCTTTCTGCAAACTCTGCTAAGCTGTCAGAAAGCTATTAGGTTGAGTAGCACGCATTTTATCAAGAACTGTCAATCCCCCTGACTTAATTAAATTCTATTCTGCCTTGTATGTTGTGACCTTGACTATGTAAATAATAGCCCTTAGCACTGTATAAACCTGGGGGTTGGAGCATTTGGAGGCTTTTCAGCCAGCATCATCCAATCTTAAGTTAAGTGCAGTAAACAGCACAGGACATGACTCTCCCTTAAGGATGTCTAAGTCTTAATAGGAAAACACTTTTTGTGGACTCCAGCATGTTAATTTCAATAAAATATTTATACAAGTTTTAATACTTCAAAAGTTTAACTCAGTTAATTGTCATTTGTTTTACTTTCAAAGATTCTGGCTAGGACTTTTGACTTAAAAATGCATTAATAAACGTATTAATACATTTCTGGTATGCCCGTAATTTTGATGCAGAAGTGACATCAGCAAACAACAGCGATGGATGACAAACCCGTACTCTAACAATTCTGTGACTATTTGTCACAGTGAAGCATTCAATATTTGTATCAAAATGTACTGTTCATTATCAGTCCATTACTTCATCTCTCCCTTGGACATAAACTGAGGTTTTTTTAGCCAGTTTTCAAAAAAGGTGGGAGACTAGAGAGTGTGACAGGCAGGAGATTGATACAAAAAAATTGCTGCTCTCATGTCTTTATAAACATCTAAAAGTTTATAAAGAAAACAATGATTATAAAGATTACAATGATTATAAAGCTTAAAACAACTGCAGCTTTGCAAAGAAGACTTTACGAAGAACAATTATATATTTTTTTACCACTGATTAAAGAGGTTATAAACCCCCTAAAGCTTATTGTTAAAATCCTGCAGCACAGATCAGCATGTTGGGGTCAACAAGCTGTCATAGTTACCCTTTGGGATTATCTACATACCAACCAGTTGTTTAGGAGGCATTCCAGGAAAAAGTCTCAGAAATGTTAACATGCAGATTTTGCTAAGTGTGTTGAAAATGTGTGCTTTACAGAGATAAGACTAAGATTTAGCATTTTGGCAACAAATACTCCTGAAGAGCTTGTTGTGAAGCTAAACTCATTACGCCCACTGTTGAGTGTGGTCAAAGACCTGTGATGCTATTGGCCTTTTGCTGTTTCAAAAACCATCGGTATGACCTGAAGATAAGAGAGCGTAAGAACGGCCTGGCGATCTACAGAGACAAAGTGGAATGATATCTGAATGCTCTAGCCTTGAATAGTCTTAGGTGGGACGTATTGCTTTCTTCTAAGCAAAAGGGATTTGTTCAAAAGTATTAATTGCAGGGGTTTGTGTTAAAATTAACAGATAAGTTATTTATTGATCTGTTCATACTAGTTTATAAAACAATTGCAAGTAAGTGGAAGGGCATGGCATGCTGGACACACATTTGCATCAAAAATCACCTGCATCAACACATAACACATGGGTTGAGGGATAATGTAACAATTATAACTCATTTGATAAAAACATCCAAGAAAATGTTACCCGCTGATTAAAACTCCTCATTGGAAACCTGGTGGAGCTCTTTGCAAAAACAAATAAGAAAACTAGAAAAAGATAGAAAGATAAAGCAAACAAGCTGAAAAACAAAAACAAAACACCCTTCCAACGAACTGCCAATGAAACCTGATGTAAGGTTGTTGGCAGAGATAAACATGTAGGGGCAGGTTAACTGTACTATGATGTAACATCACCTTTTCTGTGTGTTTCCTTCCCTGAGCCTTTTCCAGCTTTTCCAACCAAACAGGTAAACTTATCAAACAATCTCCTCTGATGGAGCTTTGAGAAAAAAGTTCAGCTCAAAACATCTTAAATTAAGTTTTGGCTGTATAATGTTGCTGTAGACTGGTTTGGTCTCTCTGACTGACATGGAGAGTTATTATGTATGACTTAAATGTTATTATTACTGAAGTATCTAGTCTGAATTTTGCAGTTACAGTTTATGGAGGTAGAAATGGTTTGAACTCCTGAATTAGGATTATTTGAAATGAAAAATAAAAGTTAATTAGAGCATTAACTTTTTTTGATGTTAGTAATTCATTTTCCCCAGCTTTGTTTTTCACTTAATATTTCTATTTTGGTTCATGTTAATTGAAATTAATACTTGGCAAATTTAGATAATATAAAATATAAATAGATAAAATTTACACACTTTGTTTAAAAACTAAACTTTGGATTTATACAAACAATTAAAACAGGAATGTAGCACAAACTTATTACATGTATATAAATCACAAAGCAACAATTATTTTTACTCCTGCTATATAAAACAGACCTGTATTTATTATTTTGATATATAAACATAAATGAACATTGGACTTTAAAATTATTATTTGCCTCCACACTCATCGCAGCTTTTTGCAAAACTGTCTTTCTCAAGAGCCGGCACACATGCAGCTGTTTCTCAGACTTAACTTGGTATTTTTCACCAAACATTGAATTTGTTTTGTGTCAAGGCAACTGACCAGCAATGGGCAGAAACGAGTTGGGGAGGCACAGGACTGCATAGTACTGATAGTTTCGGTGACATGAAACTAAACTTTTCATGATCAACATTAAATATCCAAGAATAGGTAATGTAAAAATGCCTTTTTGAGGCAGTGAAAATGCTTCTTATAGGGTTTGGAATGTTGTATTTACTTATTGCATTGCATTTTAAAGTTTGTTATGGGAAACAAACTTAAGTGTCATATAAAATCATCCTGAATATCATCAAAAGTTAAATCTGTTGAGTAAATGTGAAGGAAAATCAAGCGTAATGATAAACCAGATGAGGTTCTTTTCTTTTCGTATTTTTAGTACAAACCATTATTTTTACAGTTTCCTTAATAGATATATTAAACATGAGTTACATTTCTGCTGAACACTGAACAACGAGAGCTGAAAATGGTTGTTTCTCTCCCCAGAGTGGTTTTCTGCTGTGTGTGATCTCTCCAAAAAGCGACTCGCTGATTCTCATTACGCACTACTTCTCTCTGTCTTAACATCGAAGTAGATATGTCATAAATACAACAAAAATACTTCTTAAAACGCAGGTTCTTTTCTTCTTCGGTCCTCCTGCGTTTGAAAATGACACATTAGTTTCCTTAATCCTTTCTTTCACTTTCTCTGTGGATTTATATATTTTAAAGCGTCACAGTTACACGGTGGTTTTCAATAATATTCACTGGCCTTAACCTTTAAAATTTTGTCATGTCACAACATGTCCGGGTGTGGTGTGTGACTTTTCATTTTTGTTTGTCTTCATAATGTTTTTCCTTCACTAATGAACTCGATACATTTCTTAGGCTTTTACAAAACAGCTCTACTTATACTGTGTTCATTTCACAGGAGCGCCCTTAAGTGACTTCTTTAGAGACTTTCTTTCCTAGATGAGCAATTAGGGGTATCTGAGTAAAAGAGGTTGCATATAAATGCTTTCCAAACCTTTCAGATTTTTATTTACAGAAATGTTTATGCATCTCACCAAAACCCCAATAATGTACAGTGGAGTTGTTGTTTTTTGGAAACATGAAAATAGTTGAAGAGGAATTAATAGTTTGGTGCTTTAAGCCTGTCAGAATGATGCAGTGGCTTCCATTGAGATGCAGCACAAAGTAGAAGGAGGGTTAAAATGGCTCATGAGGAGGAGGAGGAAACAAGCTGAAGGAGAAGAAGACTACCCAATAAATGAGTATTGACTGTACAACCTTTTAATAGAGCAGCTTAAAAGACTAATAGCCTGGCTTTTATCTCATGTTGAGGAAAACATACTGCTCAAATTGATTGGATTAAATTTGCTAATATTGGGGATTTGATTACAAAGAATTGGCAACATTAGAGCAAATGCATCCTAATGTGACGAGAAGAATTAAAGCGGTAGGTTTGATTTATTTTTTTTCTCCCTCCACTTCTTCTCTTATGTGTCACGTTCTCTCGGCTGACCTCATACTGCTTTAGAGCACAAAGGGAGCAAAACAATCTGCCCCCGCAAAGGAGCGAATGCCATGGCTTACATTGCTAATCCCTCAGCAGTCAAAAGACCTCATCACTGTGGAATGACAGTGAGTCTCATCTTGCAACACGCCACTGCTCTCCTTTTACACAGACAAAACAGATAAAAGAGAATGAGGATGTTAAAGGCTGGGTGTTTTCTTTAGCGCCGGCCATCCCCTCGCGTTAGCCAGCCAACGAAACAGAGTCAAAACATCAAAAGGACATCAGACATCTTAAAGCCCGCTTTGCTCCAGAGCTTCGCCACAATTCCTTCAAAGAGTTTATTGTAACTTCAAATACTGATTGAATTACTTGAGCCAGTATATACCTTAATCTTTTGCACATTGTGTCACATTACAGGCTTCGATGTATTTTATTCAGATGCTTTCGGATAGTTTAACATAAAAATACGCACATCTGCTGGAGTGGCTGCTGGATAAAAAACATCAGACGATTAATGCATATAAGACCTTCACGACAAACATCGCTACTCTGAGAAAACACTCAAACCTTTGAATAGAACTGCAATCTGTTTCAACAGCCTGTTCATTTCTTCAGAA